TCCTTCCCTTCTTCTCCTACTCCAACTAGGGAAGGGGGGAATCCTACTCCCGGTGGGAGTAGGACTCCCATAGGGCGCGCCATAGAGAGGGTCGGCCCTCCCCTCCTCCATTCCTTTATATATAGAGGAGGGGGGCACCCATGGACACACAAGTTGATCATTGATCCCTTAGCTGTGTGCGGTGCCCCCCTTCACCATAATCTACCTTGGTCATATCATCGTAGTGCTTAGGCGAAGCCCTACGACGGTAGCATCATCATGACCGTCAACACGCCGTCGTGCTGACGAAGCTCTCCCTCGACACTCAGCTGGATCGAGAGTTTGTGGGACGTCACCGAGCCGAACGTGTGCAGATCACGGAGGTGTCGTACTTTCGGTACTAGGATCGGTCGATCGTGAAGACATACGACTACATCAACCGTGGTGTCATAACGCTTCGCTTATTGTCTATGAGGGTACGTGGAAAACACTCTTCCCCTCTCGTTGCTATCCATCACCATGATCTTGCGTGTACGTAGGATTTTTTTTTGAAATTACTACATTCCCCAACATGTAGAACCACTCTTGTTGCCAGACCTTGACGGTCTCCACAAAGGCCCCTTTAGGCCAAGTGGTGTTGGGGAGCTTGCTCACCATGGCGCCGCTGCAGTCCGGTGTGCTGCCCGTCGACCACCTTCGGCTTCACATTGAAGACCTTGAGCCAAAGGCCGAAGTGTGGGGGGTGCGGAGTAGCGCCTCACACACGACGATAAACGCCAAGATGTGCAGGAAAGATTTTGGGGCTAGATCATGGAAATCTAGCCCCAAGTAGAACATGAGGCCACGGACAAAGGGGTGGATGGGGAGCCCTAGCCCGCGGAGGAAGTGAGGGATGAACACGACCCTTTCGCCGGGCTCCGGGGTGGGGATGACTTGCTTCTTGGCAGGGAGCCTGTGTGCGATGTCCGCAGACAGATACCCCGCCTCCCGGAGCTCCTTAATGTCCTTCTTCGTGATGGAGGAGGCCTCCCACTTTCCCTTGGAGCCAGATCCAGACATGGCCGGAGAGGTTGACGGTGGTGGGAGAGATTGAAGTTTGGGCGCTGGGGCTCGAGGATGGGAAAGCGGGAGAAGGAAGAAGGTATGGGAAGAAGGAGGAATCTTTATCCTCTTATATAGGCAGTGAATATCAACCCCCCCCCCTCAAGCCTTAAAACTCGCCTGTTCCCCTGGGGTGGTGCGAATGGCACAGTTAGATTACCCAAACCATATCGATGAGGATCCCGCAATAAGTGGACACAATCTTTGTTTTGACAAGACATGTCAATAGAGGCTGCGCCTCGAAACACGAAGCGGGAGGCGAAAAACGGTTCAAAATTTTAAAGGGGTTAGATGTGGCGTTTCACCAAAAAATTGTCAATTGACAGGCATTATTTTGATTAAATATTTTGCCTTCGTGGTTGAGGGTTGTGATTATCATGCAGAGCCGGATACAACTCTTTCATTCAGAAGATTTCTTTGAAGTATTCGGGAGGAGGAACCCGCCTTGCAATGCTGAAGACAATTTGTGTGCCGAACATATTGTCATTGAAGACTGGTTCTGGGGCTACTGAGGGAGTCCTGGATTAGGGGGTCCTCGGGTGTCCGGGCTGTGTGATATGGGCCAGACTGATGTGCCATGAAGATACAAGGTAGGAGACCTTCCCCCGTGTCCGGATAGGACTCTCCTATGCGTGGGTGGCAAGATTGGCGTCCGGATATGTAATTTCCTTCTTCTGCATACCGACTCTGTACAACCATAGGCCCCTCCGGTGTGTATATAAACCGGAGGGTTTAGTCCGTAGAGGTTATCAGAATTCATATAGGCTAGATAGCTAAGGTTTAGCCATTACGATCTCGAGGTAGATCGACTCTTGTAACCCCTATACTCATCAAAGACAATCAAGTAGGAAGTAGGGTTTTACCTCCATTAAGAGGGCCCGAACCTAGGTAAACATTGTGTCCCCTTTGTCTCCTATTACCTTCGATCCTCAGACGCACAGTTCGGGACCCCTTACCCGAGATCGGTCGGTTTTGACACCGACAACACCCGCTCCGCATCCTCCTCCCTTGCACAATATCCACCATGACAGCGAGTGGGAACGCTCCATGGGAGAGACTGTCGCCGGATATGAAGCACGAGATCGCCGCCCTTGTGGCCGCCTGGCAGAGCTGTCGTGCCATGCGGATCGAGGCCGACATGCCTGCCAGCTTCCTCGAGCTCTCCGTCGACGATCCCACAATGGAGAGGAGGTCCGACGAGGACACCGCCCCGGAGCCGGCATCGGTGCATGCCTGCTTGACCATAGAGCAGGCGTAGGCGCATTACGACGCCGCCACGGCGGATGAGGAGCAGCCTGCGCGGGCTCCTATGTCGGCGTTCCGGCAGACGCAGGAGGAGTAGAGGTACAACCTGCTCCTCCTCAAGCAGCACCGGATGACGGAGGGCCAAATCTACGGCGAGTGCGCAAGCGAGGAGGTCGTAGCTGCCATGGCCACGACGAACTCGTACTTCGTCGCGGAGCAGCAGATGCTCTATAAGGCCATGCGTGCTCAAGGCGACACTCGCAACACAGTACCGGCGCAGCCGGACGCAGACGCGGCCGCACAAGCGCTGGCGGTCGAGGACGAGAACACCGCCAACTGTGCGTCCTACATGTCGTTGTCCAACTTTCGGGTGCACTTGTGGCAGGTGGACAGTGACAGACCATCCACGTCTATTATAGAGCTCACGTCCACCGGGACCGGCAACGGATAGGTCGCAGACTCCTTCGAGGATGAGTAGGGCATGGGAGGTGGCAAGGCATTGTGTCCCAAATGGGTCGGTCCGTCTCCCATGTTCTACTCTTCCTCGCCGAAGACCGCACTTTCACTTCACGGGTCTTAAACCTCGTCGCTGTTCATGGAGATAACAGATGAAGAACGTGGTCGCCGGTGCGGAATACAAAGGAAGTGGACGATGGGTACCGCCGTAAGATAGCTTTAGGGTCGGACCCATTTGTTTGTCCTAAATGTTCAAAATGTACTGAAAAATCTTTGTAATGTAATGAATTTCGTTTTGTGTATATGAAGATTCGCCATTTTTGCGTGAATTTTGTCTAGTTAGTTGGTACCCGACATGAAATGTATGCGGGCAGCATTGGGTGATCGTCTCCCGCCAAATGTCTCCTCCCACAAAAAGCGCATCGCCGAAAATACTGAAATAAATTCACTAATAATGCGAGCATCAGAACTTAAACACTGATGGTTTGGGAATACCACTGCCCCTCAAATCATCCAATCCAACCACAGGCTGGTTTGCACGTCGGAGATGACTCGGTACTAGTATACGATGGAAACCTGCAGAGTGCAAAGAGATGGCCAAAAAAAATCATGTGGTATTATTAAGGGAGGCAAAGACGATGATGCATGATGGAACGGAAATATGATAGTGTGAGTCAGCGCACTTTGCCCACGCGACCCTTGCGCTCCCAGAAAACAAACATAATCTCCGGAATAAGAAAGCGCGACGAAGCAGCACCAAAAGGAGCGGGAATGGAAACCGAAATAGGAAAATATCCCGATTTCTTTCCTCTCACTCTCTAATCCCCGCCCTCCATTGGTGGGCGCCTCCGCTGCCACAACCTGGCCTCTATTTAAGAAGGCTCCTTGCGCCACCATCCTACTCACCACCACACCACAGACCACACCCGCACCGCTCAGCTCAGCTCGATCGCGTCCCCAGCCTCAGCTCTGCTCCAACCGAACTCAAATTAATCGCAGATGGTTTCTTGTGCGCCAGTAGTGGCTTAGCGCATTAGCGGCGGAGGTTGGTACGATCAGGTAGGCCGGAGGTGAGGTGCCACATGTTGAGTGGACAAACGGCGGTTAGTGGCAGCAGCAGCAGCAGCAGCAGCAGCATCGTCAGCCGCGGCGTCGAGCAGGGGAGCGGGAGCGGGGAGCAGCAGCAGCACCAGCGGCTGCCGATCGAGGAGGAAGAGGAGGAGCCAGAGTTCAGGGACATCCACGCGCTGAGCCCGCCCCGCGCGCTGAGCCTGTACCGCCGGAGCCGGCCGGGCAGCAGGGACTCGTGGGGGTCTGCGGCGGGGGCAGGGGGGAGCAGACACACGTCGATCCGCTCCGTCGGGAGCGACACCGCCCCCAGCGAGCTCTTCCCTACTATGAGCAGGGAGTTCTCGGCCATGGTCGCCGCAGCAGCCAGCGCTAACGCCTCGTCCTCCGCCGCGGCGGGCCACAGGGAGAGCGTGGACCGCGCGGCGAACGAGGACGCGCTGGGGAGGATCGGCGAGGAGGAGCTGGAGGAGACGAACCCGCTGGCCATCGTGCCGGACAGCAACCCCATCCCGTCGCCGCGCCGGGGGCTGTCGCCGCGCCCGGTGGAGGTGGCGGCGCCCGGTGCCGGTGCCGGACAGGGCGACGAGGTGTCGGTGGGGCAGGTGAAGAAGGGCGAGGTGGAGACCAAGATCGCGGCGTGGCAGATCGCGGAGGTCGCCAAGGTCAACAACCGCTTCAAGCGCGAGGAGGTGGTGATCAACGGGTGGGAGGGCGACCAGGTCGAGAAGGCCAGCGCATGGCTCAACAAGTACGAGGTACTACACACTGCTCCAATCCTCTCCATCAACGATCAATCCGCACCACACCATGCTCTCTCTGAATGAATTCTGATCGTGTGAATGTGAAACTCCGGTGCGTGCAGAGGAAGCTGGAGGAGAAGCGGGCCAAGGCGATGGAGAAGGCGCAGAACGAGGTGGCCAGGGCCCGGCGGAAGGCGGAGGACAAGCGCGCGTCGGCGGAGGCCAAGAGGGGCACCAAGGTGGCGCGCGTGCTGGAGCTCGCCAACTTCATGCGGGCCGTCGGGAGGGCGCCCACCAAGCGCTCCTTCTTCTGAGCCGCCCAGCCCTGCTCTGCTGCTCCTCCTCCTTGATCAACGTCCCGCCATTGTTTCGCTTTTTACTCGCCGTCGCCGTCGCCGGATCGTTCAGCGCTTCGCTTCACAGGAACCTCCTGTGCTCGCTGCTTCGCTGTGTGGAACTCTCATTTTAGTGTTGTATCCACATGTATGGTGTGGTGTGCCATCGTTCCCTCTTTCTTCCTCTGCATTTCTCGTGTTCGATATGGAGTACTTAGTACATAGCATAAGAATGGAAGGGTGTGCTCTGCCTGCTCAGTCCAAGTGCAAGAGCCGCCTGTATTTTGTTTTTGTTTTTGTTTTTTGTTTCCGATCAAGGATATTGTGTGTGTGTCAATATGAACAAGATATGCAGTAAATTACTGTTGTGTGGTGTGTGCACATTCGCAAGCCTTTTGAATCACCAGTTTCTCGATTTCTAAGTGTTCATCCGTGTCATTTATTTCAGCTGAACAGTCCTTTCTCTGTCCCCCAACACCTTGTTCGGCTTCTTTTATGGTTTCTTCAATGCTCAACTAACAACACTTTGACATAAAAAAACTTGGAGGCCCAGTGTACTGACGAAGAGTTGCTTTTGTTTTGACTTCTCAAGATCTAGTGAAGAGTAGTCAAACGATCAGTAATTTGGAACTCAAGTACTAAACTGAGTTTTCTGCCTTGATGATGGCATGCGACCTACCGGCTTCACTGTGAACAGCAGAACGTGCCCTGACTTGTCACTTCACCGGCAGAACGTTAACTAGGTGAGAGTCACTGGTGCGTATTCGAGAGAAAAAAAAACAAGGTGACAGTCATGCAGCACGCATGACATATCTGAGCGTATCCATTGCAAATCGGAAATTATTTTTATGTGTTGGTCTCGCGTAGTTCGATAATGCTCCAAATTAGCACAACCAAGCTCAACCAACATCAGTTACGTACCCTCGATTGACAGTGACCTGTGCTCTTCATATTGCTCTTGTGTGCTGAATTCAGAAGTATCTGAGCTTGGCAACTTTGGATTCTCAGCATGGGGGCATAGAATAATGACGCTCGCCACTTTCATATACTAGTACTACATTTTATACGAATTCCGCAGAAATTTCAGTTCGATAAGAAAGAACAGGATCTCTGCGAATCAAAGAATTGTTAAGATTTCTGTTGACTAGAAATAGTAGTTTGATGGTAACAGCGTGCCTGTGCATGTGAATGCAGCACATGTATGCATTTTTTTGCTGTTGCATTGCATACCATCATCATGGACACAAGACGACCAGGCGTCAATGCTGGATCAGACAATACCTGAATAATTCCGTGCGCTTGTTCAAAGAGAGAGGATACGAATCCCATGGATCCCCTGCACTTGGACACCTATATTGGCGAGCATGGCCAGGGAGTGGGCCTCCGTCTTGTAGTTAAATGTCTCTACCTTGTAGTGGGGCGCAGCGGCCCATGAGCAGGACCAGCCCATGTGCATGCATGCATCATCGTCCTCTCTCTAGCCTAGAGAGAAAAACATGGTGGGGGCAACAAGCAAGCTCACATGCCTACACAATGTGAGCCTGTTCTCCTGTTTGATCACGTCGCATATGGCGTGTTCCGAATAATTGGTGGTTACATTGATCATGATACGGTAGTGAGAATCCAGTAGTGAATTACTACTGGCCGGGGCTTCGTGTTAATTTTCTTCCGAGTGGAAATAGGCTTACTGGTTGCTTTTTGACCCAAAGGAAATAAAAAAGCTATCGTGGCTTATAAAAGGGTTTTCGACACGCTCTTATATTATGGTACGGATGAGTATCAGATAATCACAGTACACAACTAAAAAACATACTCCCTCCGTCTGAAAATACTTTTCGAAGAAATGGATAAACAAGTAAGCACTATCACAAAATATAAAAGAGAAAACTACCATAAAACAATAAATATTCTTCACAAGAAGATGACGTGATCTTCATGTCTGAAGAACATTTTCAGAGTGCTCGTATGATGAAGTTTACTCTTTGCAGTTTTGGATACTTCAATGATTTAAAGGTCAGTTTTCATAAGGTTAAACTTTGTTATTTTGGTCACGCTAAATATGCTGCACACCACACGGCAGAAAGGCAAAGTGAGCCAAAGCTACATTTATACTGTTCGGGGAGATATATACACAAAAGCTGCATGGCCGTGGAAGAAAACTCTGTGATCACTTTTGTACATGCCACACCAGTTAAGAAATAACTAAAAAGTGCAGCTGAGGATACGAGTCTTATCTCTGATAAGTAGAGCCATTACGCATTTAACCTAGATGAGGCTACCAGGATGTTCTCCACTGCTCCCTCCAACAAATGTCTCTGAAGTTTTTGGCAGATTGTCTACACTGGCAAAAAGCTCGTCCGCCGCAGAAGCATACAAGCTTGAAGGCTCTGGCAGATCAACCACGTCAGCGAAAGGCTCGTTCACTGAAGGAGTATATGTCTCTGAAGGGTTTGTCAGATCAACCACATCAAGCAAGGGTTTGTTGGAGGCACAAGCATCGACCTCTGACGATACCGGCGCATCAACCACGTCAAATAAAGGCCCATCCATGGCAAAGGCATCATCATCTGAAGATGGGAATGTAGTGAACAAATGATCCGAACCAAGGCCAGCAGCATCACTGCCAGCCTCCTCCACAGCAGAAATTTGCGATTCAGAATCAGATGATTCAGCAAGCAAGACTTCAAGAGAAGGGCTGCTTGTACTCATTCTCTTCGATACGAAAGCCATTCCCAATATGTCATTCTCCTGTGAGCCCACAGTTGGTCTTACATCAGGACCAGCTCCATTGCCCGCAAAAAGATCTTCCACATGATTTCCAGCCGCGACATTCCCTGAACTAGTAGCTTCTCTGTAAGAATCTCCATCAGATGGTTCCATACTACTCAAATCTGACAAGGAGTGTTCTACCTCTGGTTTTCTGGAGCTTTCCCTGGGACCTGAGTGCAAGCTGCTACAGAATACAGAGTCCATCCCGCCAGAAAGCCTAATGCTGCCCTTTGTATTCTCCAGAACTCCATCCTCATCTGACAGGGTTTCCATTGCATTGGTACTGTGCCCACCAGAAAGCATAATGCTGCCCTTTGTATTCTCCAGAACTCCATCCTCATCTGACAGGGTTTCCATTGCATTCGTACTGTGCCTGTTAGCACCATTTGCAGGAGCTGCATGGCTTGATGGTTCAAAGGTTGTCTCGATGGATATGTCATCACAAAAATTTCCATCTCCCTCATCAACCTCTAAAGCTTTCTTCAATAGCGAAAGTTGGAAGATTGGGTTCTGCTGGCTCGCTTTGCTGTCACCACCTTCCAAGTTCTGATGTGCTCCTGTCAATGTTCTCTGGAAGGACGGAATTGCAGCGTCACCACAGCACACCTCAGAAGTACCATTCCTAAAAGCAATCCGTGCCGCCAGAAACTCTGCCAATGGTAAGGAAGGTCTGCTTTCATCCACTTGAGCTGTCTCGCCAACAGATTGAAATATGGTAGGAGGTTTTGCCTGAGTTCCGCCATCAACAGACCCGAGGTGTGTAGCAAGCTGAGAAGGATCATCCACAGGTTCACTGCTTGTGACAAGCGGAATCATGTACGAACTAGGACCATTGTTCTGCCCATTTACCTGAGTGTAATCATCTATAGATCCTGTAAGAGACTGTGAAGGAACAACCAACAGTTCAGTGCTAGCAAATGCCTTCTTGTCCGGATTCATATCAATATTCTGTCCATTTACCTCAACACTGCTAACCAAGTGTGCCTTAGATACAGAAATGAGTGGAGCCGCATCAACCTCCTGAAAAGATATCAAGGTACTAATCTTCTTTGTGTCACCAAAGATGCCATGAAAGTCGTCTTTAGTGGATGTGTCATGAAGATGTCCATGAGAAGGGAAGGAACTAGAGGAATCATCAGTATTTCCACAACTTACATTACTGGCAGTGCAAGCAACAGACTTTGAAGGTGATGTTCCTTTGGTGGAAGTGAGAAATGCCTCCAAGGCAGACGCTAATGCGCCATCGACAGATACAGGAGTTTTGCCTTTGAAGCTGTTGTCAGTGCTTTTGCTCAGAGTATCATTAGAATTTGTACGACCATCATCAACATTGTCAGCTTCTGCTTGTTTATCTTCCTCCACTTCATCCTCTTCATCATTTAGGAATTCAGGAACCTTGATAACTAGACCTGGGGAAGTCTTGCGTTCTCTCTCAACAGGTAAAGGCCCACCATGAAGCTTCTCACATATAAACCCAGGTTCACAGATGAAATCAGGTGCCTTAAGGACCCTTGGCACAACATTAGGTCCATGTAAATTAACTGTATTCTCATCAGCCACATCACAATTAGAGTAATCTTCTGAAGAAAATTCAGGTGCCCTCATAACCAAGCCTGGCTGCCTGTTCATCACAGAGGCAGAAGTTCCAGAATTCCCACCATTATGTTCCTTTTGCTGGGAGTTAATTGTATCAGAAAAAACATTTGGTGCTGACATTCTTGCAGAAGAACTTCGTAGAGACTGAATCTCCACAGAGAATGAATCAAACTGCTGCTCCAGTCGTTGAAGCCTTGCCTCAATGCTACTGAGGGGCCTCATCATTTTGTCCTCAAACCTAGAGCAACATAACTCCACCTTCTCCACCTTAGAGATCAGAGTATCCAGCATTCTCTCAATGTGATTGTGCGGAGTAACATTTTCATTCATAATAGGACTAGCCTCCGGGTACAGATTTGATACTGTCTTATCCTTCGCCAGTGTCACTTGTACATTTTCTGTTGTTATTACAGGCAATGGAAGAGGCTTGGGATCATTTAACGGGAACTCATGTTGGTTGCCATCATCATCACATATCGTACCACTCTGCGCAGGTGGTAGTCTGCTCTGCACTCCAGCTGGCCTAAATTTGGAATCATTTGTACCATACAGCCCTGCTTCTTTCGCTATGTTTCCACATGGGATGCTATCTTTCAACGCGCAGCCTTCAGGAA